CAACCTAGACCAGACTCAAAGGCATTAATTATTTAATTATCATTATCGACTGTTTTATTTTTAAAAATAACAATAGTAATAATATATGTATATTTTTTTATTGTTTATAGAAAACTGGTAAAGAAACATTGGTGGAAAATTGGATAATACACAAACTAAATAAAGCTACAATTGAAATGAATAAATTTCTTGGCGAGAAAAATCTTATGAATGCAACTACCTCTGTTTATAATTTTTGGTTATATGAACTTTGTGACATATATATTGTAAATTTATTTATCTTTTTTGTTTGTAGAGTTATGATGAAATGATAATATAATGATAACATCATCTTTTATAATTATTATTAATAGGAATTAATTAAGCCAATGACTGATGTTGATACATCTATTCCAAAAAATGCAGAGCTTAAAAGATCTGCACAAGATACATTATATACATGTTTAGAAGCTGGACTTAAATTGCTTCATCCATTTATGCCATTTGTGACTGAAGAGTTATATCAACGATTACCTAGAAGGCCTGGTGATGATACTTTAACAATAGTCAGAGCCAAATATCCACTTGAGGTATATAAATAATAAATTTTTTGAAAAAATTCTATTCTTTAAAACTTATCAATATACATAATTATTAAATAGGTCCCAGAATACAGCAATCCAAAAGCTGAAGAACAATTTGATCTTGTGTTCAATGTTGTTAAGGTAGCTCGTTCACTTATTGTTCAGCACAATATTCAATCTGATGCTACTCGTAAGTTATTGATTTAGATATATATTTATATTTATATACAAAATTATTTATTTACATTAAATATTTTGGGGGGACAATATATATAGTTTTTATACAAACAGCTTCTGAACCAATTACATCATTACTGAATTCAGAAGATAAAAGTATTAAAACATTGGTAAAAAACACTAAATCCATTCAGGTGATTGGAAAAGATGGAGCTTTGCCATCTGAATATGCATCAAGTATTGTAAATGAAGAGATAAGTGTATTGTTACTTTTGGATAAGGTATTAAAAGTGTTATTTTTATTTTTTTATAAATAATCTTTTATTATTTTAATTAATAAACATTGTTTTCTTTATTTTTTTCTCAAGTAAAATAAAAGAATTAAGATCCAATTAAATATTTAATCATTAAAGTATTTTTTCGATAAATACCTAGATTAATTATTATTATATTTATTTGATTAATTTATATATCTTTTGAATATAATAATATTATTATTATTAATTTATTAATACAAATAAAATTAATTTTGATCGTGATTTAAAAGGAACAACAGTGAAATAATTCTAACTTCGAATATGTAAACAATGTGCCACATAACACGATACAAATTTGGTATATTATTCGTGTGATACTCTTTAAATTTAGTAAGTATACAGGTTTTAATTA